TCTAAACTCCTTAAGGGGGGTTATTCAGGGTTTAGGTTTAGGGTCTAAACTCCTAAGAGGGGAGTTACATAGAGGATTATATAGGGGACTATTACCTGTAGGGGTTATTTAGGGGTATACTAAGAGTTTAGACTATGGCTCAGATGGACGTGGCACCAGGAAGCAGCAACTTGACCTGCCACCCCTAAACCTTAAAACCCCAAACCCTAAACCCTGAACCGCGCGCCTACGCAGCTTAGGAGATTGAGAAGCGCTACAAGCAGGGCCTTTACCCAAAGTCCACCATCACCTACAAGGGTCGCTTCTGGCAATCTGGCTCTCAGCTTCGCGAGGCGGCTGGCAGTGACATTAGGGCGCCTTCTTCTTCTTCTATTATTACTACTAGTATTATTATGGCTAAATATTATTCTGGCTATCAGTAGTTTTTATTATAAACATTGTCACAAAAACTGCTATTCGTTTTCTTCTGAATATGGTAATTAAATCTGATTGTTCTCATTACTATGCTATTGCCTTGCAAGGCCTACCCAGACCTGCCGTGCATCTTCTAGAAGAAGCAAGCGCAGGATGCCAACATGATTGGCCTAACTTGCTTCGTTGCTGCACTACCTTCCAGAGGTAAAGACAGAACCTGACAAGACAAGCTCTTGAAAAAAGGTTGCATTTTGCGCTGCCCACATGGGGATTTCTCAAAGTGTGGCCACCCTAGCAATTTCAGGGTCTTACATGTATTGCAGGGGGGGTGCGGTATTCCCCCTGCAGAATTACACAAGGCTTGTGTTGAGAAATCCCCAAATCAGTTCTGCAAGTGTACCGGCGTAAGCCGCACCCAATACTTGGAATCTACGCCGCAGGTTTGGTTATGTCAAGCGAACGTGCTCCTTGAGGGCCCCCTTGGGTTACCAGGGGTTCGGGTTAGGGAAACCAACCCATAAAGGGCTGCAATAGGGATATGACACATCATCTAACCCCGGGGTCCCTCAGAGTAGAGCTCCCCTGTTCTATCAACATGCCAGACTCTGGACGCTCAGACCGCATGATGTATATAGGGGCTATATTGGGGCTACATAGGGATACTACTATAGTATACTAGGGTCATACGCTGCTTTTTCAATACTTGGGCTGCAGATGTTCCTGCGGTGACATGTGGTCTCTTTGCACCAGGTTTTGGGTTCTGCCCTATCAATGAAAATCTCCGTCTTAAAGTGGCATCCGCTATTGGAACCTAGACATGGTGGGGACAGATCTGATGTTGGGAATAGGGGCTCGTTTGTGATAGTTCGGGGCATTACTATTTAATTTGCGCAAACGCCTTTCAGGAAATGGCCCTGCCATAATGCTGATCGGCGTGATCGGCGTAGTCTGCATCGCTGTTGCCGCGTTGGGTCGGAAGGTTGGAGTTTCTGAAAAGGAACAGCCCGTAGGGAGACTACGTCCTCCTTAAGTACAGTACAGTAGATGGCATATAGGGTATATGGGGATCTTATTATAATATACCCTAAGCCACGTTTTATCTACTTAAGGGTGACTATAGACCATGGATCCCTGGAGTGCCAAAAGGGGTGCCCTTTTGTAGAACCCCACCCAGGTCAAGAAGGAGCGAGAGATGGCGCTTCAACCGCAGCTGATGGTTGTTGTGTACTTCCTCCTTGTCTCCCTGGTGCTTAGTAGAGAACGGGGGAATGGATTATGGGGATTGTTACTGGAGATTGCAAAGGGACTACTATAACTACCCATGGTCCCCATTGGCTTCTAAGCACCGAGAAGTCTGGTGTGGCTTGTGTCGTCATGGCATTGATGACGAAGCCATGCAATTCTTGTAAATTTCCCTGAAGCTGGTATTTTTTGGGAGTCTGTTCCCGGCATCTATTTCCAATGCTGATTTTTGGGGTGCAGTAGCGGGGGCACGTACGATGCTGAACAGGGCTCAAACTGTGTTCAAAAACTAGGGATGCCAGTATCACCCTTTTTCCCTTTTCTATTTCGGGGTCTGTTAAACTAAAGCTGAAAATGAGGAAAAGGGTACTCTGATTATTATTAATTAAGGGGTTGCAGGGGAACCTGGAAAAGCAGCTACGCATGCTCTCTGGCAGAATGGTCCGATCCCTCAAGCCCTGAACCCCGAACCCTGAACCCTATACCCTAATCCCTAAACCCTAAACCTTGAACCCAGAACCGTAAACCCTAATCCCTAAACCTTGAACCCTGAACCCTAAACCCTAATCCCTAAACCCTGTGCCGACCATTTTCCAGGTCCTTTGCGTTCATGCCGGCACAAAAGTCCGAAGGGTTTAAAACAAACCCTGTACCCTGAAGCCTAAACCCTAATCCCTACCCCCCCCACACATTGAATTTCGTGTTTCGGATCACCCTCAACGTCATCCTCCCCTCGAGGGTCCTCATAGATCATTTCCCACTGTAATTCGCATGAGCTATAGTCTAAGCTCCTCAAAGGGGTTATACAGGGGATTATAAGGGGCTGCTATGGGGGTTATAAGGGGGATGCTACAGTAAGAGTTTAGGTTATGGCTCACATACACTTCCTTCATGATGTGTCCATATTTGCATTCAAGTTTGTCGTGCCAAGCGAAACGATTTCAGTCTATCCTTGTATACGCTATAGGTGTTTCGGAGGCCTTGTATGAGGCAGATTGGCAAATAATAACACGCGAGCGAGAGAGAGAGAGAGAGAGAGACACATCGACCCGTTGGGCTGGAGGTTCGCCTCCGCGACACCTACGGGTGTCGCATAGCCTGTAGAAGAAGAAGAAGAAGAGATTGGCAAATAATACCCGCTGAATCATCAGAGTGAAGCTGCTAGATAAGTTGCCCTTAGAATCTGATGTCTGTACACACTTGTATGAGTGTGCTAGTAAACAACTACGGAGTGGCTTGAATCCCAACATACGGCTTGAATCATTACCAGGCAGCTTTCATGGCAACAACGACGACAACTTATCCAGGAAAATGTGGGATTATCCGTTGCTGACGGCTTTTCATTGAACTGAACCACCCCATAGACTACCATCCCTAGGTTCCGTAGTTTTTAGTTATGCCTAATCAACCCTAAGTGAGAGCAAGGTTACGCTCCAGGCAGAGCGCGCGGCTGAGAGAGAAGCGCGCCGAAGGCAGGAAGAGACGCGAGGCAAAGGAAGTGGCAGACGGGGCGGCAGGAGATGAGGGGTTCTCAAGTGTTTTTGTTTGCAGAAGCTGTCAGTTTCCTGTTTAGAAGTGTTTTCCACTGTAAACACTTTTGAAGGTTGCAAAGATGCATGTGGCCTACCAGGAGATAGCGATGAGCTGGAGCCGATGACCCCAGGACACGAGAAAGCTACATGGAAGCTGTTTCACCAGTGTCGAACCAGAGTCTGCCAATAGACGGCAAGGAGTTCCAGGGTGGCTTCGCTGAATGCCATGCCTGGACTAAGCACACGGCTTAGCAGCTGGCTTTAGAAAAGTTGCTGGCGTTTCCTGTGAGCTTCTTATCGGTACTTAGTAGGGAATGGAGGAGTAGATACACCTTTGTAAGACCCCTTGCCACTATCCTTCATTCCCTGCGAGCCGCAAGTGGAATCCTCTTACAGGCAGCTAGCATCTGCCTTTCCAGTATAACCCCAATGCATTATTGTAGTTTCCATTTTTTCCATTATCCCTATATAACCCCAATGTATTCCAGTAGTTTCCATGTTCTTTTCCATTATCCCTATATAACCCCAATATATACCCTATAATCCCTGCATGACCCATTACAGTAGTTTCCATTTTCTTTTCCATAATCCCAATACCTTTATAAGCCCCAAACCCCAAGCCCATAAGGGGGACTATATCCCTATATAACCACTATAACCCTTGTAGTTTCCATTTTCTTTTCCATTATCCCTACATAACCTCAATATAATCCCAATATAACCTTAACATAGCCCTACTCTAACCCCCCCAAAACCCGTAAACCCTAAACCCTAAACCCCTAATATAACCCTAATGATTTCTTTCAATGTTTTGCTGTGGGAGCCTGGGCTCAAGGGCATGCAGGCTCAAGCTTTGAAGCATCGCCATGGATGAGTTTGGGGTATATAGGGGATTCTATAAGGTTATGGGTGTAGGGTTTCGGGTCTAGAGTTGAGGGATAGAATATGGGGTATATGGGGATCTTAGGGCCCGGTGAAGGGTGAACAGTGGAAAGATGAAACGCAAAGCAAGGCCCACTTGCAGCGAAACAGTTGTGCTTGACCTTCTAGTCCCCATTAAGTAGATAGAATATGGCTTTGGGTATATTATAATAAGATCCCCATATGCCCCATATTCTAGCCCTAAACCCTAAACCCTTAACCTTATAGAATCCCCTATATACCCCCATATTCTATCTGCTTAAGGGGGACTATATGTTGGAGCCTGATTCAACTCAGCTGGCTTTTCCCGTTGATGCAGGGACAGGCACCCCACCGTTTTGGAGGCATTGGCTTCGAGGGCTCCTTCGCCCGTTGCCGTGGTGGTAGATCTTGAGGACTCGCTGCATGTTTCTGATTTTGTCTCCAAACGTGGGCATGGGTATTTTCCATATGACTTTCCACTATCCCAATATAAACCCAATATACTATAGTAGTTTCCATGTTCTTTTCCAGCATCCCCATATAACCTCAGTGTACTATAGTAGTTTCCATTATCCCAGTATAGCCCCAATGTACTATAGTAGTTTCCATTTTCTTTTCCATTATCAGAGTCCCAATATTTCCACTTTGGATCAGCAACGGCAAGCGTGGATTTCAGGCCAGCATGACCCCTGCAATAAAACAAACATGGTCTTCACATGAGACTTCTTTTGGGTATAGCCCTTAAACCCTAAATAGTAGTTTCCATTTATTTTCCACTATCCCAAAGTAACCCCAATATAACACTAATATAACCCCCATATGTAGAGAGCATCATCCCAACGGGTGTTGTCTTCAGCCTTGCTCTGCCAGCGCAAGGAATCCAGCCAGTCCAAGCGCGCCTAGGAAGCAGAGCGATGTCAACTGATATTTGTCCCACGAATAATGAAACGCACTTAGAGATGCTTGGCACATTCCTCCCCCTCCCCCCCGGCCCCCTCCCACTCTTGTTTTGAAATTGCAAGTACGCATCACAGATGAGTTGTGCAGGTTGGTTGTCGCTTCAAGTGTGGCTTCTGTTGAGGAAGCTATGCAGGGACTATCTGAGGTACTTACGTAACAAAAAAAGAACACAAAGCCAAATGACTAAGGGCAGTGCTGTAGAGAGACGTTGCAGCAACCTGAGGATGGGAGCCCGAAGGGAAGATGAAGTAGTATATTGGGGTTTATATGGGGATAATGGAAAAGAAAATAGAAACTACTATAGTATAGTGGGGTTTATATAGGGATAGTGGAAATAAAATGGAAACTACTATAGTATATTGGGGTTATATAGGGCTACTGGAAAACAAAATGGAAACTACAGAGTCCACAGACTTGTAAGGTTTCGGGTCTCGGGGTTTAGGGATGGTTTCCAAGTGTCTGCAGGTGGGTGTATTATCCTCCTCATCGGGAACCTTGCAAGGACCCCTACTTTTCGGAACCCCCCAAGTTAGCTATGCTGGGAACATGTGTTGCATACCAGACTCCTTGGTTTCGTGCCCCAAGCCCTAAACTCCTAAACCTAAATCTTAAACCCTTATAAAGGCTGGTTTCATTCGACGCCAATGTTACCCTATGGATCAATTCCTTGTTGACAGGGTGTAAACCAGTTCATTGAGCGTGGAAAACCATAGGTATGGTTTTCCTCCAAGCTGCAGCCATTTCATGGAGAGCACGTCCGTACATGGGCCCCCTTGTGGGGGTTCATCTAGAATATAAACGTGTTGCCGAAATCACCTTTAAGTTATGCTACGTAGCAGTCTCAACATGAGTTAAACCATGTGCTTGAGAAAGGGCTGTGAAGTGCGCTCACCTAAGCTCTTAGCAATGTGGGAAGCTTGCAGGACGAGAACGAAGAAGCGACGCCCAGAAAGCGGGTGCAAGCAGATCACGAACCCAAGGCTAGCGCAGTATATTGGGGTTTATATAGGGATAATGGAAAAGAAAGTAGAAACTACTATGGTATATTGGGGTTATATAGGGATAATGGAAAAGAAAATGGAAACTACTATAGTATATTGGGGTTTATATAGGGATAATGGAAAAGAAAATGGAAACTGCTATAGTAGATTTCCCCCAAACCACAATAAGACGGGTCCTTCTAGTGGTGGGCTTCCTATTACATTACGGGTCCCTACACAGATTTCCCCCAATTTCGGGAACGGTAAGCAAAGTCCTAAATACCGTTTCTGCTTTGTCCCGAGAAGGGTATACCCCCAAACCCTTACCTACGCCCAAAAGCTTTCTGGCCTGACTATATACGCGACACCCGCGAAGGGAGCCCTAAATCTTGGATACAGTATACAGGAATCAAAAACAAGAATTTTTTGCATCTAAGATTTCCGTGCAACTTCATCGCGGGATGTCCTTCGCAGCCTTAATGTGAAGAGCTGTGCTGACCGCTCGTCAAGCTCGTGCTTCGAGAGTCATATGAACAGTTGGAAGAATTGGCTATATTAGGATCCAAAACCCTAAACCCTAGATCAGGTAGTAGTTTCCATTTTCTTTTCCATTATCCTTATATAACCCCAATACAACCCCAATACAACCCCAATATAACCCCAACATAACCCCTTTATAACCCTGATATATCCCCAATATAACCACCCAGTGAGACTGTTTGGCAGCAGAGCCCTGACAGGAGCCCGCAGAACAAGGGCTCGGACCTGAGCTTTGCATAAACCGTTTATATAGTATATTATAGTATCTTATAGGCACATTATAGTATAACATTGTGGTATATTATAGTATATTACAGTATATCATAAGAAAGAAGAATTGGGGGTTTCCAACAAATACACCCCCGAATGTAAGATACTCAGGGCTCCCAACTACAAGGACCCAAAAGGGAACTTTGGAAACCCCCCTAGTTGACCAGCAATGGCATGAGGATTCCAGGGAGCCCCGTATCAAGGAATGTCGTACTTCGAATTGTATTACGGTAGGGGTCCTACTTGGGACTCAGTAAGTGGGTTAATAATGGGGATAGCTAGGGTTACTACATGGGTTATAGGGGTTATTAACCTACTTACTAAGTCCCCCTGACCCTCCAAGTAGAGGGTATTGGGCTCTTTGGGTTCTAAACGTATATCCGCGCCTCATAACCCCATGAGGCACAGAGCAATGTCTGCTTTGGCTTCTGTTTGGCCTCTCCGCCGATTGCCCGCACAACCCGCCACGGTACGCAAGGGACATGCGGAGCGAGCAGTGCCAGATGAGGACATGGTTTCATGAAGGAAGGTTGTTATATATCATCTTCAGAGTGAGGTAGTGATTTAGCGCTACTAAAAATGGAGGTTTTTCAGTACAGGGTAGTTAGCTCTGTTCCTTCTTCACCCCTATTGTGGGGTCTGTTGGTTTTGAAGAAGGGGTGTCCCCCTCGCCCGGTCACCCCCATTTTTAACCCACTTACTAAGTCTGCCTGACCCTCCAAGTAGGGAATAAGGGAACACAATAT